AGTTCCTGACTGTGTGAAGTGTGAAGACCCGGAGATGCCGATGACAAGGTGAGGAGAGGAAAAGGTAACCACGCAAATGAGAGAGGGGGGCAAAGGGACAGCAAGGACAGCTGTGGAGGTGCAGAGCTAAGAAGACGCTGCTCCTGCTACGTGGACCGGGGAGCTGGGATGGAGACTAGTTTCAAGACTAGAACGAGAAATTGGCCAGCAAGGAAAGCCAAAGTAACAGAAAGAGGAGAGGTCTGTTCCATGGGACACAGCACTTGTGCTGAAATCGGGGCTGAGGACGCAGAGCAGGGTGCTGCGGGGTGGCCCAGAGGAGGAGGAGCGCAATGAGGCTGCGGAGCTGAGGATGGCACTGTGGTAGTGCCAGTGGGCAGCTCTGCACCACAGCAAACGGAAACGCACTCGATGCCCGTGTGGAATAAGGCGGTAAATCATGTTGCTTATTTCCTTCCATTCATTAAGATCATCTGCAGCTCCCTGTGCATCCCTTGCATTGTGTAGAAGCTGCATTTATTGGAAACAGGCTGCTCTAAGGCAGGGGCCGTGCCTCAGCAGCGCACCACCGCTGCCTCGCTGCGGAACGAAGAGGAACGAGTTGCACGTCCCAAGTCATTAACAAAGAGCAACAGGTTATATATATGGTATTACCTATACTTATTTTTTTATCTCCTGTGTACCGTTATAGCTGAAACGTGGCTGCGTGGAGAGAGGAAATCAGGAAGTAAATTGGGAAGAGAGCAATGCAACACGAGGACTGATCGGGGAAAAAAGAAAAGGAGAAAAAAATTCAAACATCTGAGCATTGATAAAGAAAATGGAGCTACCCAGGCAATGCTACCCTGCCAGGCAGTCACCTCACATGCAGACCCTTTAATTTGCTAGCAAATGAAATTGAAATTTAATTTTCTAGCAAATTACAGCATTCCTCCTTCCTGCCCCAAAATAAAGCATTCACAAAAGCAAGTGCAAAGCACATTAAAAGCAGGTGTTGTAGTCAGCAAGACCTGGAAGCTACTACTGGTATCAAGTGGAGAACACACACAGGAGAGGCAGAGGGGCCAAAGACGGACTCTCCCGGAGCAGTGACAGCACGGAAAGAAGCCCAGCAAGGAGCTGGGGGTTTCCTCAGAGCAGAAAGCCTTAATGCTTTTCTAGAGATGACGACCACCCCTGGCCTACCTCACCCCTGGGGCACCCTCCCCTGGAGTAACCCAAAGGATTGCACGAATCTGTAATTCGGAGAACTTGTACTAAAGCACCAATATTCCCACCTCGAGGCAGGCTGGAGAGGTCGTGCCCCAAGTGCTTGCTGCGATAACTCAGCCACAGGCAATGGCTTCACCCTACCCATCCCTTGGCAAACAAGCCTGCTCTCCGTAAAAACTGCCTGCACAAGTTAAACCCACCACCCAGCGTGGCAGCTGCGGGAGGAAACACTCCTGCCAGCTCCTCACAAACAGCACGATGTAGAGAAGAATCACTCCGGTTTTCCTCAAAATTGTAATTTTTAAATAAGGGGGAGTTGTTGGGTGGAAAGGAGGAGACAGAGAGCAGAGCAGCACTGAGCAAGGTTTACGTGCCCGGCCAGGGAGAGCCCTGCAGAGGCTGCGGTGCCAGGGACCGGACCTAAGGACAGTGGAGCAGGGAGCCAGGGGGGTCCCTGCTGACAAGACCCCAGACCATCTCACCCCCTGGGACAGCCCGGCTCGGCACGTCCTGCAAACCCACGGCTCCCTGTCCCTGCAGATGCCCAAGGTGCTGCTCTGCCATCTGCCCATCTGAGCCAGGCACCCACGAGAGACTTGTAGCACACGCCTGGCCTGGGCTGGTCCCAGGCAGCAGGCTGGGGCAATTGTATTTAAAAATGGTTTTCTCTGAAAAAAACTCAGAATTATTTGCTTTCTCTTAATTCATTTTCTGAAGACAAGAATAACAATCCACAGCCCAGCCCAGAACCCTCTTTTCAGTCCTATCCTGACACAAAACATACCCTCTACCTTTCCTCATTAAAGGAAGCTGAAATTCAGATTTACACCTATGAGGCACAGCCCAGCTCCTGTTAAAAGTCAGTAGGATCTTTGCACAGATTTCATGAGTGTTACTCTTTGCGTGGGACATGCCAGGTCTAACGTGAGAAAGCCAGGGCTTGCTGAATGCCCCGGCATCCCCCAGGGGTGGACAGAGCTGCTGGTTGAAGGCGATCGGAGCCTGGGACAAAGCTGCAGGTGCTTTGGGCCTCAGGCCACGTTGCCTGCACGCTGCCCAGCATGGCCAAACCCACCTCGCTCCCTCCCAGAGCCCTGCGACCCCCTGCCTTCAGCACAGGCAATCTCCATCCAACCAAGCCGAAACACAGCAATACAACAGAAGACTACAGACCGAGACTGGAAGTTCAAAGGGGTGGGAGGAATATGGTTTTCATTTTAGCATCTCTGATTTCTCCACGCAACAGGTCCTGGCCATTCCTCTCCAGAGCCGATGCCTGGCAGGGACACTGTGGGGAAGCTCGGTGCGCTGACCCCACCACCGCCTAAGCCAAGCAGTGCACACCGAACTGGGACAGACACCCAGATGCTGCTCCGCTCCCGTACCAGGGTGACGCTGGCCATCTCCCAGCCTTGCCACGCTTGAGCCAACTGGTGCTGGTGAAGCCCCAGGGCGCAGGAAGGCAGCCGGGAGGCTGGAGCAGCAGGACGCCATCCAGAAAGCCTCTCTCCACCTGCTTTGTCGATGTTTTTATCCTAATGAGGTTCCCACTCCCAGAAGCACAGAAGATGGAGAGCAGGACAGCCTGCATTTACCAGCAGCTAAAAAATGAAAGAGAGCAAGAGAGAGGGAAAGCCCCGAGGAGCGCTTGGCGCGTGGTGCCTGGCATGGCTCTGCACGGGCAGCTCGGCGCAGGCGCTTCAGGAGCGATGGTGAAGGATGGGGAAAGGGGGGTTTGCTGCAGGGGAGCGGTGCGAGGAGCGGAGGTAAGAGGGGTGCTCACACGCACGCCCAGCCCAGGGGAAGGAGGGGAAATCCTGGGCCTGCATGCCTGCGGAGAGGCTGCCCCAGGCGGAGGGAAGAGGACCGTAAGTACGGACAGGGAAGCAAGAGGGAAAGACAATCTGTAAGGAAGGTACAGATCAGTCATTTAACTGCCATCAGTGCCCTCCTGCCTCACACCTCTCCTGAAACATTTTAAAATCTTTTCTGATGGAATGTTTGACATACTTAATGCATGCAGTAAAAATTAAAGTAATAGATAACTTCATATTAATCTGTACAGGGACTGACAGGCTAGATTTAATCACTTCCTAGCTGTTCAGAGAGTTAACTTATTCTAGCATGATTCAAAGGAAAGGTAAAGGATTTTTTTTTTTTTTTAAATCAGCCATTTCATAGTAAGAGAAAAATGTGCCGCAGCCTCGTGTGCGTCAGCGCTGGGGGAAGGGAATTCTAGCATGTCAAAGGAAAGGTAAAGGATTTTTTTTTTTTTTTAAATCAGCCATTTCATAGTAAGAGAAAAATGTGCCGCAGCCTCGTGTGCGTCAGCGCTGGGGGAAGGGAATACCTGCAAGAGAGCCAGAGGTGCTCTGCAAAGGGCGTGTGAATCTCAAACGCCTTGTTGCATCTTCTAAACGGGTACAATGAAAGGTTTAAAGATGATTATCTGCTTTCCACCTCCAGTCCATAGGCTTTGGGATCTGGGGTTATAGTAAGAGAAAAATGTGCCGCAGCCTCGTGTGCGTCAGCGCTGGGGGAAGGGAATACCTGCAAGAGAGCCAGAGGTGCTCTGCAAAGGGCGTGTGAATCTCAAACGCCTTGTTGCATCTTCTAAACGGGTACAATGAAAGGTTTAAAGATGATTATCTGCTTTCCACCTCCAGTCCATAGGCTTTGGGATCTGGGGTTCAATGCCAACCATGAAAAGCAATTCCCGTTGCAGCCAAGCCCTCTCTAGCCTCTGCCCCCAGGGCAGGTGTCCCTTGAATGTGTGGCCTGCACCATAGCCTTGCTCTCAGCAGGGACAAGGAGCTGAGCAAGGATCAGCAAGCAGCTGTTAAAGGTCGGGTGACCCCAGAGCCCGCGCAGTGCCCTCTCAGGCATTGCTGCTTTCTGCACGGGAGGAGGTTTGCATCGGGATTCATGCAAACGGACTTTGTGCAGCAATGCAAAAGCGAAGCCGTGGAGACGCAATGGCTGAGCAGGTTCCTTTCCCTGAGCGCAGACCGCAGCAGTCACTTCCCAGCCACTGATCATCTCTGCCCGGCAGAGCCAGCACAGCTGCACACTCTGTGCACTTCTAACAGGTTTTTCTCAGAAGTGTTAGGCACCCTGACCCTGTTCTGCCACTGCAGACCCCCAGCTGGCTTTTAAACGTGCTGCAGAGGCCTGCAGAGGAGCCCTGCAAAGGTGTCTTGCAGGACAGGGCAGAGGCTTGGCCGCTTTCGGACTCCACAGCACCAGACACAAGCAAGGACAAACCAACCGCACCTTGCTAGTAAAAGGACGAAATGCAGATTACAGTAAAAAATAAGCTTAAGTCAGTCCCTTATCCCAACCCTATTCCAACTGCAAATCCTGGCTTAGGAGGGTGCTAGGCGAGACATGCACAAGAGCACAGGGCGAGGGCCATGTCTCCCCTGCTGCAGAGCACCAGCATCAGAAGGAACTCGAGCCCATAAAAGGGGAGAGATTCAACCTTCAGTGAAGCGCTGTGGAAACTACTTTGCCGTCAGAGACTACAGAAATCACCACGAGTGCGGAAAATGGGAGAAGGAGGTCTGTCCAAAAGTAGGGCATGGCAGGAGCGATTCATCCCTGAAGCCAGCAAGAAATAAAGACGGATACAGCCCAGCGCGCCCACCCGGCAGCAGTGGATGCGGCAGCCCAGAACCCCCGCAGCATCTCCTCTGCCGCTTCCGCCTGAGCAGCACCTCCCCACCCCACGGGCTGTGCAATGGGGGAGCGAGGCAGCCATCAGCAGTACACACACCAGTAGCTAATTAATATTTTTATGCAGGTAACAGTATGGGACACCAGCAGCTGCTACTAACGAACCGACAAAGGACAGATTCGCCTTTCTCTCCCTCGGTGATGGGAAATGGTTTTGGTTTTGCTTTAAATGCCACTAAGAAGACAGACAGAAGGAGGACTCTGAAGGAAAGGGAAATGTTTGCGTGCACTCAAAGGCTGCCGAAAGCTACTTCATGTGCACGAAGGTGGTTTTCTTTCTGCTACAGTACAAGTGCTTGTGCCTCAAGTATAAAACGCAAGCCTCCAAATCACACAGACGAGCTTCTTATTTTTATTTTTAAAGTGATAAATAAGGCACTGTACTTTTAACTAAAACTGCCTGGTTCCAAGTTTAAAAAAAAACCCAAGGAACGTTCAAACTGCAGAAACTTCCTTCTGAACAGCAGAGCCAGACAGGCCGACCTCTTCTCTGTCCAAGACACATCTGCCGATGCCTAAAATCACGGGCGTTATCCTTTAGCTGCGGATTTTTAAAGGCTTGCTACAGCTTATAAAAGCAGCTTTAGTTAATGCATGGTAAAGGGTTACTACTATACATCAGTTTTGTACATGGCCACCGGTTCTTCGCTATTTCGGATCGAGTCGCGAGCGCTTGCTGTGCGAACAGTCCACTTTTGCCCTCAGCTTCCTCTTGCCCTGCGACCCGCTGCTCTCCTGCATCTTCTTCATGGATCTCGTCAGGGTCTTCCCACCGCTGGGCTTCTTGTTGGCCATCTTCTGCGACCGCGTGGAGGACTCCCCCAGGGGCTTCTGCTTTGGGGACTTGGTCAGCTCCTCGTGGCCAGGGGGCAGCACGGCCCGTCTGCTCGTGTTCTCCTTGCCTTTCCGCATGGGGAGCCGCACCTTCTCCAGCTGCCTTTTTGGGGCTCTCTTGTCTTTCAGAGACATTTTTCTAGCCAGCTTATTGCTCCTCTCCATGGCAGCCTGCTTTCGGGTGGCGGGAGCTTTTGCGCTGACCTCCGAATGCTTTATTTTACTGGCCTTCTTGGCAGGCAGCTTGTCCTTGGTGGCGGAGCCGGACCGCTCCTGGGTGCTCCCGCTCTCCTTCAGCGTCCTCTTCTTCCTGCTGAGCTGGAGATCAGCTTTGGGTGAGGGGTCCTCCTGGGACCTGCTCTTCCCCTTCCGCCCCTTCCCCGCCCCGTCCACTGATGGAGATTTAGCAGGAAAGGCGTCTGCTTTGATCTGCAAGGCCAACTTTGGAGACATCAGTGGGTTGATGCACACGCTTTTCCGGCTCTGCTTGCTCTCCAGGGATGGGTGGTCCCCCAGGCTGTCACTCTTCTTCTCTGCCTTCACCACGCGGTGCTGGGCTCGCAGCTTGCCCCGCAGGTTGGAGTACTTGCGCAGGATCCTGGTGCTGGCCTGCGTGGGCAAGCTGGGGGCAGGCTGGATGGTTTTGTCTTCACTCAGGTCCTCGGCGCCGGCGTCGGTGGGAGACGTCTGGCTGGGAGCAGTGGCTTCTTCAGCCTCTGTTTTATCAGCGTTCTCCCGAATTTTGGCCCAAAGCTTTTGGTTCTTCAGGTTATTCCGAGCTGGGGTAGTGGCGGCGAACTTCTTGAGGTGTTTTTTCAAACGTTCGGCTTGCAGTGAGCTGGGGTAGAGACTGGAAGAGGAATATTTCTGCATGGGGACTTTGATGGGGGGGATCTCCCCTGGGAGACGGGTGTTGAGTTTCTTCACGATCACTAGAGACCTGGTTTCAGTCGTCTCCAGAAACCACTGGCAGATGTCGGACAGCTTAAAGGCCTTCATAAACAGCATCTGGACAGGAGAAAGCTTCTGCACTTCCAGTGAGCCTCTACTTTTCCGTGTCCTTTTCTTGCTTTTCCAAATCTCTTTCAGTTTGTCGGCTTTGTTCTTTACCTTGGGGGTTGGCTGCACCTCCTTCTCCAGCTGAATCCAGCCCTTCTGAACTTTCATGTACTGGGCGTTGAACTCGGCAATGAGTTCCTGGTTCTCCTCTTCAGCACACCACTCCATGAACTTTGGTTTGCTGTCAGCCATGTCTATGTCCTCCAACGCCGGGGAGTCGTCATTCCCTGAACTGCATTCGTCCCTCAGTTTGAGGATCGCTTGCATAGACTCCTTCCCTGGTGTGCTCCTTTTTGCGGTGTCTGTGGGTGCGGGTGCATGTCTTAAGTTATAAAACTGCAGGGCGACCTTTTTATGCTTTGCAGCCTTTGCTGGAAGATGCTTGCTTCCACCTCTGCTGCTGGGACATGGAGGTGAATTGGCCATCGGCTTGTAGCTCTCCAGCTTGCCCGTGTCCATGGCACTGTCGGAGCTCTCCTCATCCTTTGCGCTGGCATGGCCTGGTTTCACATCCACTTGCTCGGCATCATTTGCAGGCATGCTGCTCTCCGGAGGGAGGAGAATGCTTTGCTTCTCAGAATCAGCCTGGACGCTGATTTCCAGCATCTCACCTGGTTGACTTTGGTGGCCATCAGCTGGGGGGTCGTCTTTAGAGGAATTTTCTCCCTCTGCCACAGTCTCTTTCGCTAAGATGCTTTTATAGGTTTGTCTGGTAGTGACACCATTCTCCTCGCCTGGCCGCTGCTCAGTGATGCTCTCTGGAGCCTGGCCGGTGCCTGGCCCCTCGGTGGTTTTGAGCAGCGTGTTGGGGAAGCAGTCATTTGGGAAGTGCATGGATGCTGCCCCATCCAGGTGCACTTCTCTCTTGAATCGCTTAGCGCCAGGGCTCTTGGAGAGTTTGATCTGAAGGCAAGGAAGCTGCACAGAGCTGGAAGAACCAGCATCCTCAGCACTGCCCTCAGCGGGTGACTGGGATTGCTGGCTTCGGAGACACCGGTCCGATGCCACAAGCACTCTCCTGCCTTTCTTTCGCTTCTTGTCTAGACTGTCTTTGGAAGAGACAGAGTCTTTCTCTGCAGTGTCTGAGCCGTCAGGTTCAGGTGGCGTTTCCCCTTCAGTGGGCTCTTTTTCACCTGCCGGGCTGTTATTCAGCACTGCCTCCCCTTCCGAGATTTCAGGGAGGGCTGTGCTGGCCGGCACAGCCTCCTCTTGCTCAAGGGAGCCATCACCCGCCGTGCACAATGATTCGGCTTCTGGTTCAGCATCGACGCCTTTGTTCACATCCACACACTGCAAGGTGGCAGGGGGCTCTGGGGTGCTCGCCCCGTCCATGGTGGCAGGGGGCTCATCGGGAGCCTGCCAGCCTGGAGAGCGTGGGGAGGGCTCTGCCAGACGCAGCTCACAGGGCTCCGTGTCTCCCGCACCTGGAAGCTGGGCAGGATCCCTGGCATCATCATGGGCCAAGGGTGCTGTGTCCACAGCGGTGGAGGGCTGCAAGGGGGACTTTGGCTCCGGGCTGGTGGCGAGGTCCAGATCAGTTTGTATGTCAGAGCCTGGGCAACTTTTCTCCCCGCCGGGTGCTTCTGAGATGGGAAGGGCAGCAAAATCGGCAGCCTGCCCACTGCTGCTGCTGTCCCTGGAGGAGCCCAGGCTGCTGCCAGCCTCCCAGGGGATGGTGCCTCCCGCTCTTGTCCCCCCTCCTTCGGCGGGAGGGGAGCCGGGGGGTGGCGAGCCAGCCAAGCTGTCCTCTTTCTGGGGGCTGGGTGGAGCAGAGAGGGAAAAGAAGGGCACGGCCATGGCAGCTTCCCTTGACCGCAGCGCCCGGGTATCTCGGGGCTGCACGGAGCCCGGCTCAGCTCTCTCTTTCATTTCTCGGCTGGTTGGTGCCCCTTTAGCCAGGAGCCTCAGGGAAACCCTCTTCTCACCTTCCCGTCCTGCCCTCGCAGACCCCCCCACCGAGAGCACCAGGGGCGGCTTAGTGCTTACGAGGGTCTCTGTTCGCAGTGCCGGGCTGCTCCCCCTCTCCTCCGCCCGGGAGCTCTTAACCAGCGTGCGGACAGTCGGGAGCTCGCAGCACTCCCCGTTGAAGTAGTACCCCCGCGTGCTCTTCCTTGCCGTCTTGCGGGATGACACCGACCGCTGGCTCTCGAAATGGCACTCGGTGATGGGCTGACTGATGTAGACCACGTCGCACTGGTTGTCATAGTCGTTGATCCTCAGCCCCGACGCCTTCTTGCTTTTCCGAGTGGATCTGAGGGAGGCTACCTTGGCGCGGGGGTGCCCGCCGGGGGTCCGGTGGGCGGCTGGCGTGGCACCAGTGGGCAGCCAGCCCTCTTTGGACTTGTCGAGCGGGCCCTTGTCGGCCGGGTGCAGGTGGCAGCCTGCCTTGCCCTTGGCCACGACATGCAGGTGGTTTTCTTGCTTTGGTCTCGCATCTTGTTCTTTTGCGTCTAAGTCCTGGTGCAAAGATGCTTTCGAGCTGCATTGCAAAGTGTTCTCTTTGTCGGCTCTGCGAGGTGGGGTCACCGCAAAGCCGGGATCCCAGGACTCTTCCGGCAGAGCTCTGAAAGAGCTCTTTTGGGACCCCAGACAGCCATCTAAGCTGTCCTCGCTGCCATTCACGTTTGCCACTTTGACCGAGATATAACCTTCCACGAGAGTCTTACCTGCTAGCTGTTCTTTATTGTCCTCACACTTTCTGACACCAGCTTCTTGCTCGTGTCCAGCAGCTTGCTGCCCTTCCAGGCTCTTTGTGGCATGATGGAAAGTCAAAGAGGAAGAGTTCAACGTGCTGAGGTATCCTTGGGTGGAGCTATCCTTTGGACTAGCAGAACGAAGCCTGGTGACGGGGAGCTCGGAGAAGTCCCTTCTCAAAGCAGGACTGGAGCTCTCTGCTCTGTCCAGAGACTTCAGCTCCACCGGCTGCTTCGGGGCTTGTCCTGTAACATGCAGGGGGCCATCGGACCCCGACTGTCCTGGGTCCGAGGAATAAGGGGGCTTTGATTCAGTACAAGTAGCACCCTTATCCTGACTTTCAGTGCTTCGCTGGCTACAACCAGAGCCACAAGTAGAGGCCTCCATGCTCTCGGATTCAGCCAACTGCTGGCCTTCAGAGTCTGGTTGTACTTCAGTGTATATGTCGTTTAGCACACGAATGAATTGCTTCTGGTGATGTGTACACAGTCTGACCATAAACTTTTCCAGTGGAGACTTCGGCTGATTGTTAGAGTCTATTGCTATTGTCTCTGCTGCATCCTCACTAGAGAGACAAAGAGAGAAGCAATCAGTAACATGTCCCAGGGAATAAAAGTTTATGCTGCAAAACTGGAATAACCCTTCTCCTCCCACTCAGGCATATTGCTTGCCTGACCTCCAGGTGAGATCAAGCATCCTGTCGTCACGGGCCTGGCAGGTATCCCTTCAGTCTCCAGCATGCACACTTGTGTCTGCATACTGCTGGCAGGACACAGCCTGCACTTTTGTTCGTCTCCCACTGCCAGAGCACCCATAATTACACTTCTGCCTAGGACATCCTGGTGTGTAGGCACCATGTGACGTGTTCAAAGCAAACCTAAATTTCCAGTGAGAATCGGATTTAGTATCTGCACGGTGCCCGGTGTAGAAGGCCCAGCACTTCTGGGACCCACCAGGACGACTGCACACCTCTGCATGCTCGATCTGCACAGCCAGGCTGGGGGCAGCAGAGCAGTGCCCCAGCTAGGCAGCCAGATGCCAGAAATCTTGAACTACTGTAAGTCTTCATATTCTGCTTACGTCTTGGTGGCAGAAAATGGGTCTAGGGCAAACAGCAGATCTGAGCCTCCTCTGTAATCGGTGCAGAAATTTTGGCAAGCTCCCAGCCTGCAGGACGTGCGGGCAGGAATGCACTCTTGCATGGTGCGGTGCCTTGCCATTTGCACTGACCTTTGATTTATTGCCATTTAATAAAGTGGCTCTGCAGCTGAAGGGCTGACTGTCAACGTGCAGCGGTGGCTCAGAAAGGTGTGCTTCTACAGCACGGGATCACTGCCACTAGCTAGCTCTCAAACCAAGGCGATTATCGTCTACCTGCTTGGCAGAGGCAATTAATTAGGACTTATTGGTGGAGAGGTTCAGGGGTAATTACCCAGTGTTTTCATGAACTTGTTAGAAGTGCAACACCAGGCGCTGTTATGGAGACCGTATCTGTTCCCAACGGCAGCGCAGGCGATTCCCACGCAGTCCCTGCCACGCCGAGGGGGCTGCGCGCCTTGGCACCCACACTGTTTGGCACAGGATCTTTGCCAGCAATGCCGGGTTGCTTTGCGGTAACAGTTGCACTTTGCACCTCCTGGCCTTGTACCAGAGGAGTGACCCCCCCCCCCCCCCCCCCCCCCCCCCCCCCCCCCCCCCCCCCCCCCCCCCCCCC